AGATAGGAACATATATTTGTGCCAACTTATTTTTTTTGAGTCGTCCAGACGACCACATATCTAGAAGACCCTCAAACATCCATAAATTTAAAAAATATCCTAACTAACTGTTTTTCTGTTACTTAACCTTGCTTAACTCTAAATAAAAAAAGTATTCTAACCAGGCTTTACATCTCCGATCCGCGAGAGATATGAGATATATTTTTTATATAAAAAGAGGCGAAGGAATCGTGGCATTAATCCGTTGGCTTGAAAGGAGGCCGAGCGGCCCCCCGTGGGGGGTGGCAGGTGCGTGTGCGCAGCGTAGGCGACCGGGAAATATGTGGGGACAAGTGTGAACCCGCCATTGTGTTATTTATAACTTGTTTTAGAACTTAGGGCTATACTTGATATGTAAGTTCTAAGTTAGATAATTCATCAGCAAGAGTCATTATGAAGTTTCTTTAACTTACACGAAAAATTGAATTTTATTGTGACTGTGTTCCAAATTATGAATTGGATTTATTTATTCGACGAAGGATCTCTAAAAAAATCTCGAAATAAAAAAGGTCGCATCGCCCGCAGCGCCCCTTGCGGCGAGCGCGCGGAACCAATCGTTTCGGTACGCTGTCACTATTATATCATGTCTCCACACAGGATCACACAGGATCTCTGAATAATTGTTCACACGCAGATTACGCGTCGAGCCTAAGGGTAGGTCCATACCTACCTGAAAAACAGGAGCTGAAAGTTAATGAACGATTTTAATGTGACTAAGGCCGTGGTTACAGCTATTGAATCATGGTGGACACAAAAAATTACATATTGTATCTATTTATTTAATAGTGACACCCATCATCATTCACCAGCTATTTTCTTTCTTTATATTTTTTTTTATATTTGATGGGACTGACGTTTGTCCACTATCTCGCCTGGTGGTAAGCGATGATGCGGTCTACGATGGAGCACGTCGTCACATAAGCAACCTATTCACTCGGGCCTTGAAGACACCCAGGTTATACCCTTCAGGAAATACAGACTCTGGCAAAGAATTAAATAAAAGCTACATAAACCGCAAAGGAATTAGCATTCCTTTTTTAAAAAAAACCAAAAAAATCTAAACTCGCAACATCACTAAAACAATGCAATAATTGGGATAAAATTTAAAAATATAATTAGTCCGTAAGTTAGGTAATGTAAAAATATTAGATACTTATTTTTTTATTTTGTCGTATAAACAATACTTCGATAAAACGAATCAAAGTTTAGGAGTGGGAACTAAAACGTCACAACACACGACATTTCAAATCATTATATCGTCGGAAGTATTCGTTTCTGTAAGAAAATAAAAAATACGTGTTTAATGATTTAAAATAATCTACCAGACGGACATTAAAATAAAAATAGGCATCTACCCTATTATGGCAAACTCTCATTATATAGTGGAGGGTCCCAGTCCAGCAGTGGACAGAGTTTCAGAGCACAGGATATGTTCAGGGGCTGTTGATGTTGTTATAAAACTCGTGTTACAAGTGGCAGCCATAATGGGAAATACGGCATAGACAAGTGAAGGGATTAATAGCCGGAAATGAAACGGAACTCCGCGCATATCAATTGTGTAAGACAGTAGTAGCAACATCACAAACATAAATACCTCTATGACTTTATGGTAGGTATAATGCGAATGACATTATTATTTTCCCGCGCAACAGGAAGCATTGATATAGGTACTACTTTCAAGTAATTTTACTTTCTCCAGTGGTACAATCTCAGCATCTAGGATAATTTAGGTTGCATAATGTATGCATCATACTGTGGTCAATTTTGAGGTGGTGCTTTAGTGAGAGCGTTGCGATTGCGATGGCTTGCTATAAAATATTTAGTTGAAACAAGTGAAAGAACATGAAAAACGTGAAATGCTGTTGATGATTATGATTTAAAAAGGAGCAAATTAGTTTATTTGGTGTAACCCCATTTTCCAATGGTCTATGCATAATGTCGTGTTACCAAAAAAGCGACTCTTAATTTCCCAAAAACACGGTGTTGTTCTAGTTTAGGTTATTTTCTGAGGATGAGGATTGAGAATTATTTTAAATGAAAACGTTTATAATTTGTTAATTTCAATTAATATTCATTAATCATTTAAGTGTGTAAGAGCGGTATCGGTAAGAATGAGCCGGCTCGACCGGAGTGATACCAGGGCCTCACAAAAAAACACAACAAACAACTCTTGCGTTGTGTTTCATCGTGTTGGTGAAGCTACCGGAGGCCCTCTCTTCCCCCTTCCCCAATGTACCCAAACAATCCTCAAATTCCAAACCCCAAATAGGCCGGTTACGCACTGGTAACGCTTCTGGTATTCCGGGTGTCCATGGGCGACGCCGATTGCCTACCATCAGGTGATCCGTCAGCTTATTTACCGGCTTATCCCAAAAAAAGGCACGGTCTCCGTTATTTTTATATGATGATCATAAAAGCACCTACCCACGCGCTTCTATCTTCGCATCGCTACTGCCTCTCAGTGTGACAAGACTTTATGCGCATTAGTATAATATCTGCCTGTCCTAGATTGCTAAATAATGAGAGCCACTCGCCAGTCTACCTAGATATACTCATCATCCAAAACTTTAAGACAGCTATTACCTGTAATTGTCTATTGAACTTGTCTTAACCTACTGTTTTAGTCCATAAAAGCAAGGCTATCTAGATTGAATATCTATCTAGTAACATAACATAATATAATATCACGCCTTTTATCCCCGAAGGGGTAGACCAAGGTGTAGATACATTTTGCCATTGTGCAATGTAACTCCTCCCACTTTTCACTATTTATATTATGAGTCCCATGTAATAGGGGTTGAGCCTATTGCGATTTACTGGACACGATTCCAGACTCCGTGTTACCACTGAGATTTTTGAAAAAAACCCAGTAATACTTTGCCCGACCCGGGAATCGAACCCAAGATTCCTTGCCCGGCAGTCGCACTTGCGACCACTCGGCCAACGAGGCAGTCTAGTACTATCTATTATATAAAGAAGGAGGAAGTAGATATTGGATGGTTGTTTGTTCTTGGGTTTAAGAAAATAGTAGGTAATAGATTTTTAATTTAAGATTTCATTCTAGTAGTGTAAAGATGTTTTGAACAAATATTGCCTATAGTAAAAGTCCTGGTGAAAACTGGAAAAGTTGATGTAGGTAAGCTACATTTTATATGTGCATCTCTGCTGACCCCTTCTACGAACAAAAGGCGTAATGTTATATCAAGGAAAAATATTTGCATGATATTCTGATTGGCACAACACGACGATGTATTAAAAATATTCCTCATCTCATACATACGAACGTAAACAAAACAAAACACAAGCGAATTTGCGAGCAACCAATTTATACACGACAAAATAACTTAAACGGACATTTAACATCCATTGCTCTCTCACAAAGTAACCTGATACTCACGCGAAGTACAAAAGCAGCAATGTACAGTTAATACAGCGAGAGTGTCAGTCCTGATGGTAGTGTCAATGACCGGAGCCTTGACCGTCTCTCAGAGAAAGTTACAACGATACTAAACAAGAATACTGATCGATTTACAGTTAATATCAATTTAAGAACATAAAGGAAGTGTAGTGGAACAATCGCAGTATTAATTCTTGAAATAGGATAGGCAGAGGTGTAATTTACACAGTCACTTTCGAGTTTCATTTTAGTAAGGGCTCAATTCCAAAATCTCTTATTAACTACAGAGAATTTCACAATCTGAAATTCTAATAAAACTTTTGTTTTAAGAGCAGACGTATCACCTGATGGTACGCAATCGACGTCGCCCATTGACACCTGGAACACCAGAGGCATTACAAGTGCGTTACCGGCCTTTTGGGGTTTTACAATTTGAGGATTATTGGGGATTCGGGGATTGGGGAGGGTGGTAATTGGGCCACCTGTAACCTCACTCACACGACAAGATACAACGCAAGCATTGTTTCACGTCGGTTTTCTGCTCGGCCGTGGTATCACTCTGGTCGAGCCAGCCCATGCGTGCCGAATCATGGATAATTTTGCATGCCATCAAAATATCGGGCTGAGCTCAGATCAGCAAATCAACAGTCTAGTATCAGATGGTCAGATACGATACGACCACTTGATCAACTGCCGGGTAATAGTGTATTATACACGTATCGTATTTTACCAAAATCGCAGACAATTTTACTTTTAATTCCAGGTTAAAGAGTAAACTGCCAGTTGTAACTATCTCCACGTACTAACACAGTGATCATTGTGCTATGTTCCTCATGACTCTGGGACCCTGGTCTGGCTTGAAACTAGTCGAGCTAACTCGTCGAAGAGTTACGTGTGTAAGCTGCATAACATAATTAAATAGGACATATAATTCTGAATATATACAATCTTCCGTCTCAATGATGGATCAGTTATATTATTACAGATATAGATAATAAATAATTATACATAGATCTGCGTCCATTGTAACATGATTGTAACGATTAGTTTGAAGTGTTTATGGATGGGTGAACATTAATGAAATGTAAAGGCTTGCGAACCGTTGGATTCTATTGTAATAATTATAGGTTTTATATAATTTTTAAGATGGCTTGTGGTAAGTTTTAAGTCTGCATAGTGATGCTATGCTTTTTGAATAAGGCTATTCAAGATGGAAGAACTTAGGCATTTAACTTAACTATAGCCAAGTTCCGAACAAAATCTTTCGGAGGAGGAGGTGCATACATAATTTGGTTTCATTTTCATTTTCCGACTGCACGGTTGGTGCGGTGGCTGGGCAACCGGCTGCGGTGCAACGTGTCGCGGGTTCGATTCCCGCACGGAACAACACTTTGTGTGATCCACAAATTGTTGTTTCGAGTCTGGGTGTCATTGTGTATGTGAACTTATATGTTTGTAAACGCACCCACGACACAGGAGAAAACCCTAGTGTGGGGGCAAAGTTTTCTTAAAAAAAAAATTTGGTGACCAATAAAGAAGGGATGAAATATTAATAGACAGGAAATAGTGTAAAATCTTTCTTTTTCTATATATTATACAACACTTAAAATTACAAAATAATCAACAACAATTACACAATAGTCAACAAAAACGCGATCAACAGCACAAACAACAACAATATTTGTATGCACACAACAAATAAATATCACATAAGTCAACACTGATGGAATTACATCTCCATCAGATCTACAAAATTTGTATTTACAACTGGCAACCCCGCTTATAAAAATAAGCTATAGAACCTCTTTTACCCCTAATTTGTTTTTTTATTTAGTGCTTGTGGCCTCCCTTGTGGTGGTAGATGTGTTTGTAGACAGGTACGTGGACGGGGTAAGGCTTGGGGATGGGGACCTCGACCTTCTTTTCGACCTCAACGGGGTAGGGCTTCTCGACCTCATAGGGGACGGGCTTCTCTACGGTGTAAGGGACGGGCTTCTCGACAATTTGGGGCACGACCTGTAACAAAAACAATAAGAATTAGCTTTATTTTTCTTTAAATTAAATCAAGTTAGGTTCCTATTTTTTTTAAAGTGATAGGGATGCTGCACCCATTAAGGTTATGTTTCTAAATGTAACTGGCCGCGAACTGTCACAAATACACTGTTCTTTTTTCAAACGCACGCCTGACTGCCCGCGCTTTTACTTTCTGTCATGGCCGACTGCGTTATGTAACTTGATGCAGCAAGAAATGGGTAACGTTATGAGATAATTGCAAAAACGCATCTAAGCACAATGACTGTGACATAACACTTGGGTACATTGTACTTTGTACTATTTTATTTGTTGTGTACAATAATTGTGGAGTTTCTCTTTAATATGAGGTTTGTGGTTTGAGTCTAATTGAATTGATGGCAAGAGAATGTCGCGTCGCCTGCTGGGAGTAATGTAAGTGTAAAATAAATTGCTGTTATGGTGAACGAGACGTGAAAGGTGTCTTCGAATGTTTGAAATAACGATAATTAGACTTTATCGGAGGTGGACAAAGCGAAGTTTGTTATTTATGGTTATTATTACATGCATTTTTATATTGAAGTAACTTGAGTCGTAAAGATTCGCGACGACATTTGCATATTTAATGTTATCTTTCTTTCGCATGTTTGTTCTCTTTGTATTATTTTAATTTTAATTCACGAAATGAAACGGTTATTGTCGAGACTAATGCGTAAATAAATATTATTTGTTAAAATTTATTGATCAGTACGCATCTGCGTTATTTGGCGGTTGGGGATAATTAAAATAATGATTAATCCTTGTTTTATTGCATCGTGAGATCCTAAAGGCAATAAAATCAGTCTATAACTTGTAGAAAATTAAATAAAGTTAATGAAAAAGTCTAGAAACAAAAAAGAACAGTTAACGGGTGCGAACATATGTGACTTTTATGGGCAGTACTCCTTATTACAAACACATAATTAAGTATCTAGTTTTCATTCATGTAGTAACTTACTACAGAATGTTTCATTACTATTTACCTAGCTACTTCTGAGCTATAAACCCACTTCTATTAAAAGTTCTGGTTCATCATAAAAGATAAGCAAAGGAGATAATCTCACTGGAAAATAAAGGTAGTTTTTTTATCCTTTGGGCCGGTACAGACGCATTTTTCTTCATTTATGACTGATAATTTTTGTTTTATAATTTACGCCGAATACCGATTTAATATTTTGCTCTACTGCATCTTTGTATGACCATATTTAATGATGTCTTCTAAGATCGTCTAATACTTTTACATTGATATGCATGTCCATATCCTAATGACCAGTCTATTTTCGCAGAAAGATCAATTCCAGTGCCATTTTAATAAAAGAGGATCTCCTAAAGATGCTAACCAATTAATATGGATGGAAGATCCTAGCAACATGAACAGGAATGATATTCAAGTTTTCACTTGCCTCAATGACGGTACAACGCCTTAACCTCATAGACAGTAAGGTTAATCATAGAACCTTATTTGTAACTATTTCCTTAGTGAAAATGACAAAAACCATTAAATATTAAACTCATTAACGCGGCCTTTTCAGATAGATTCTGTCTGTGTATTTTTAGACAACTTTGAGGAGGTGATATGCTTATGAAATCAAGTCCAGTTCTAAGGACCCAATTTCAAAATCCTTATTCTATAACCGCAATTGAATACTCCTCGTGTCTTAGTCAACTCACCTTGTATACTGGCACATGGATAGGCTGTTCCACTGTGACGTGGACGGGGTAGGGTTGAGGAATGGGGACCTTCACGTATTGAGGAACTGACACAGCAACGGGATGAGGGACTGGTACTCCAATCTTCTTCACCACCGTCACATGGTACGGCTTTGTGTGCTCGGAGTGAGAGTGACCTTCTGGCTCCCAGTCTTCGGAGGGACGGGCGGCCGCGAGGGCAGCGAGGAGGAGGATGGCTGCTGTCTTCTGTAAGAGGATTTTTGGTATTTAGTTTAAGTATTTCAATTCTTTCCTGGTTAATGGTTGAAAGTGATTCGGAACAAGGGAGAAACATAGATTTTTGAGATTATTGTATGGTTGTATCTCTCAAAAACCAAAATTGTTTAATGTGATTAATATTAGCCGTAAGTCATCGAAGTTGCTGTACGACTCGTGATGATAAATTACTTTATAAAAATGTATGCTGTAGTGTTGAGATACATAAGTCAACTGGAATGATTGTGTGTTCAAGTGATGATTTATTCGTCGATGTTTTTTATATCATAAATTTTTACAAAGGCTAGTTACGTCATTAAATTGTTCAATGAAACAACTAAACCCTTGGAATGCCCGAATAGTTCCACTTGTCCAATGATGTCGTGGTTCCCTTTGGTTTGGTGGCCCACAGTACCCTTTACCATAAAATATTTGAAATTATGATATAACAGAATCATTACGTCACTAATGTTCCAACATAAATGGCACGCAAACATTAAAATGATATTCAGAGCGTGAGAAAACACTTAATATATAATTTAAACGGCCATTTTGACGTTGCACTTTTTAAATATTCAAATTCCACGCAAAGGAAACGCACTATACAGCCAGGGAGCGCGGTAAATTTTTTTTTTCTGTTATGTCACTTGATATTAAATAATTTTTAAAACACTTACAAAAGCGATCATGTTGAATGGTTTAGATGCTGTTGTCGACTTCTAAGTATTGACTGGTGCAATCTGTGATCCCCACAACCGTTTTATACTTGGTGAAATGAACAACGCGCCTTTCCATTCAGTGATAGGATCTGCGCACCACGTTTTTATCGCGTTTCAGATCTTGCTGTATACTTTCGCAATGTTTTTAGTCCATTGCGGGTTCTTAAGTGTAGGTTAAGGTGTAAATCGGTTCTTGGTGAGCAATGTAAATGGTATTTTTGTTTTGAATACGGTAGTATGGTGACCTGTAATGAAGATTGAGCGTACTATTCGGGTTTAACAAGGAGAAGTTGATACCACAGAGGTTTTGCTTTATTTTTTTTCTGCTCTCTATATGTTCTCAATTCTTTTTTATTTATTTTAAGTTATTATAAGAAGTATGCTTGATAGAAAGTGTGATTGTTCAATTAATTCATCTAAGTGAGTGGGTGTAGTATGACTTTTAATTTTGTCCCTGTGAAGAAGGAACTTTTAAATTAACCTAATCGCGGGTTACTCAAGTGATAATATTGAGAAAAGTTCTACAATTTTCGAACCACAAAGGGGTTCTTGCCTGAGTAACCCGCGATTTTTTGTTAATTTAATGTCTTACGATAGATATTATAAAAACAAGGGACTTTTCATTTTATTTTAAATGGTTATCAACTATTTTATATCTAAACTGTATGATTTCCATGGTCATCATCGACGTTCAGTAACAGGTCACTACTCGACTATGGACCACTTTACATAAGTGTGGTTGCCTTTATTTCCACGGCTAGCAGGCAGGTTCCAGATTGCAGCGAAAAGTGTAAAAGGTCCAGGTTTACTATTGACACTGCTTAGTCTACTAAAAATGGTCCAGGTACATGTTTTTGGTGCTCAGTGTAGGACATCACCATGTTAGACTACAAGATTTTTATATTTTTATTTTAGTAAATTTTGTAATTAGTATAATGCGTCAAGCGTGTCTTTGCATTGTTCTCACATATACGGACAGTATTGGAATATGTATCAGAGACATACTTTTTTTAAAAGAGTAACGAATGGAGTTTCTTGCTCGTTCTTCTTCATTTGAACTACATTTTGGAATGAGCACCTAGCTTCACCTAGCTTCACTGACGGACTGACTGACAGACTATTATTTATTTTGTATTTGTTGACGTTTCAAAAGTACCAAATTATGGTTTAATTGAAATAAATGCTTTGACTTTTACTTTGATATCAGAGTACCATGGATACTGCACGATGATTCTAAATTGACCTTCTATTAGATTTTTGGTGCTATGGCAATCTTGACAGTTAAAGTTAGCCCCTCTGCCGTCCCCCAGTGTAAAGCAGGCGTAATAGTAATACATATGTTATTAATAACTGAGTGAATGTGGTCCTCATACATTAAGCGATGCTTTCATAAGTTACAATTACAACTTCAATGAAGTACAGTCATGTCATAAAATACGACGGTCATCCGTTCTAAATTGGGTGTTCAAAGTGGCCATGGGTGAAGCGCTAAGAAACACAAATGAGATGAGATTATAAATAATATCCAAAACTGAGCAGAAAGGCTTACGTATGATGAATATAAAAAATTGATATGTTACTTAATAGCTTTTGCCTGCGACATTGTTCAATTGTAATCCCAATATCTCCTGTACGAATTTCTCCTATCTTCTCTCCTCTTCTCTTACAAATTTCAGCTTCCTAAATCTTGTAATTTTACCTGTGTGTTGTCCGTCTGTCAGTACCGGAACAGTTTTATATTAATTAATCTATTTATTTTAACTAATATGTTACATTCTATTAACATAACAATAAAACATATTAGTTAAAATAAATACATGCAGCTGAATAGTATTTCAGGTTCCAACAGGTTCAATACCCTTAAACAATTAATGTAAGTAGGTACTTATTACCAACTTTTATTTGTATAAGAAAATAAAACATTTGTTACAAAAAAAAACAATTGGTATTGTAAGTGTGCATTGTAAGTGTGCATTTTCTGAAGGAAATAAAAGGCTTTTTTATTTTTATTTTATTTTATTTATTTATATTATTACCATATTATATTACAAAAAAAAACGATCAAATGTAGCATGCACGACCATTATTATTGCGACTAACTGTACATCACTTATACGACGCACTTACGTTCAGTTATGTAAAGATAATGCGGTTTTAAAAACTTTGTGAATGTTGAAGTCGGAAGATGAAATGTTACTTTTACATGGACAGAAGTACCTCGCCGTGAGGGGACTGTTATCACCATAAGTGGGTCACATAACCACTTCCTATCCTTACTTATAATATATAATATATATTATATTATATTATATATTATAATATAATATTAATATTATAAATCTGAAAGTGTTTGTTTGTTTGTTTGTTCCACCATCACGCCGTAACTACTAAACCGATTGCTTTGAATTTTTGCAGACGTAAAGTTAGAAGTCCGGATTAAATAATAGGGTACTTTTTAACCCGGAAAAATTGATATTCCCGAGTGTATTATGTCACATTGGCTACTTTTTATTATTTTGTGACGCGAGCGAAGCCGCGGGTAAAAGCTAGTTACGAATAATTTAAGACAATCGGTGAAGCGTCACCGATTCATGGTAGATTTACCACCCATGCGCACGGAGCGCTTCACTTCAAGCTTCCCTGTGCGTACTGCTAAGGAGTGGAATTCTTTGCCAGAGTCTGTGTTTCCTGAAGGGTATAAACCTGGGAGTCTTTAAGGCCTGAGTGAATAGGTTGCTTATGGGACGACGTGCTCCATCGTATCCATCCATCGGCTCTTCTCACATGAAGAAGGTTTAAGCATTAATCATCACGCTTGCTCAAATGCGGGTTGGCGATTTCAAACTTATAATTAGGAATAAGCTCCGGGTTCCTCACGATGTTTTCCTTCACCGTTTGTCTGTGGTATCTTAATAGTATTTTAATATAATTAAAATATTTATTAGCATAAAATTCAATCTTACTAAATTATGTATAAAACAAACTATCTTCTCCTTTATTTAATTGAAACTTGTCTACAGCTGAACAAAAGGCTTCCCCTTAAGAGATACGGTCGAATTCTTTGTGAATTACATAAGACCAAGTTAAAATCAGACTCAATATTTCTATTATACATCCCATGATTGTTATGTGTTCCATGTAAAAGGAGGTGACCTCTTATATAGAACAGAACTATAATCACATTACGTGCTATCTACTAGGTATGAAAATAAAGAATACACTAAGTAGCTGAGTCCAAGAATCGAAGTATCGAACTCGAGATTTTTCGCTTTTTTTTACCCTTGGGGAGCCTGGTAGGTAAAAATCACATGGCATGCCTGGTGGGTCTCACAGACCCGTAAATATAAATGGGTATTTTTATTTATTTTGATGTTATAAACTATAATAAACAGTTTGTAATTTATATTAAATATTATATATTAATGAAAAAAGAGAAAAAAAGACGACAATATATTATAATAAAGTTTTACTACTTAAGGAAATAAAAAATCTCTCATTTTTGGGTAACAATAACATATCCTTAAATTAACAATATTAAACTCTTTTTAATTGAGATCAAAATCAGTCTTCACATTAATATAAGGCATAGATGAATAAACTTGGGTTACTAAAGTAAGATTAACTCAGTATTTGTGCGACAATTTTCGCATATAAATTTGCGTGCTCCAATCAAATATGACCTGTGCAAGAAATACAAATGTACTTAGATTTACGGCCCTTTTTAGCAAGGCATATGTAACAACATCTTTTTATAGCAGCATCTTGTCTTTTAGCTGGTGGATCTGAGAGTTTTCCTCTATGAGAGCTAATTCTCTTCCTTAGGTTAATCGGAAACCACGTCATCCTCAATTTCATGGACCTTGATCTAAAATTTGGCTTATTTCGGTATTGGTTAATCGCCTGGCCATATTTAACTGCGAAAATATTATACAGATAAATAATTTACCACACAATGCAAAATAAATAATGAAAACAAAAATAATAACTTACCAGTTAAAAGTTACGCCGCGTGCCTGGTCGGGTTTCTCAGACCCGAGCGCACATAAAACACGTGTTACTAGAACGCGTGTGCGTTGTGGATTGCTGGAGGGGCGGCAATCTAGCCGCCAGTCTATATCACGAAGCTACTTAGGCATACAGCGGCGGTAATTACGAAATTTCTAAAATATTGTCGATTCTTTAAGGTTTTTTTTTTTTTTTTTTTTTTTTATGGAATTGGAGGCAAACGAGCAGACGGATCACCTGATGGTAAGCGATCAGCGCCGCCCATGGACACCCGCAACACCAGAAGAGTCACAGGTGCGTTGCCGGCCTTTTAAAAAGGAGTACGCTCTTTTCTTGAAGGTTTGAAGGTCGTATCGGTTCGGAAATACCGCCGACGACAGATCATTCCACAGTTTTGCTGTGCGAGGCAGGAAGCTACGTGAGAACCGCACAGTTGTGGCCTGCCAACCATCTATTTGATGGGGATGCATATGCTGTCGTGAGGGTCGATGGCGAAAAGATGCGGCAGGTATCAGGTCAAACAATTCCTCAGAGCACTCCCCGTGGTATAAGCGGTAGAAAATGCACAATGAAGCTACATCTCTACGCATTGCCAAAGTGTCGAGCCGGTTTGAAACACCCGGACATCCAACAATCCGAACGGCACGCCGCTGAATGCGGTCCAGAGGAAGAAGCTGGTACTGGGGTGCCCCCGCCCAAAGATGAGAACAGTATTCCATGTGGGGCCGCACCTGTGCCTTATATAGAAGCAGGCGGTGGGCCGGGGTGAAATACTGCCTCGACCTATTGAGCACACCAAGCTTCCTCGAGGCTAATTTGGCCTTATCCTCTAAATGACCGCAAAACTGGACGTCGCTCGAAATGTTGACACCAAGTATTCCAATACCGGCTGAGGCAGTTAGGGGGGTGCTTTGAAAATGAGGAGAGACGACCAACGGCAGTTTCTTAGCGGTAAACACGCAGACTTGTGTCTTAGTGGGGTTAAACTGGACCAAATTAAGCCCAC